AGCAGAGTGTAGTGGCTCACTGACAGAAACAAGGAAGGATACAGGAGGTGAAAATGGATTTATCCATTCTGAGAATAATTTGTTTTCACCAAAAGAGGCAAAAAAAAAAAAAAAAAAAAAACACACCCAGGCTGTGCTATGACTTAATGAGTAACAGGCATAATCTGTTACATTGAAGTCAAAATTAGGCATCAGATTAGCTGTTATTACATTAAAAACAATGAAGTCAATGATTTAATTAAAAAAAGGTTCAGCCCCAAACCAGACTTGACTGCAGCTGGCTACACCCAAACCCAGCTCACACTGCCACCAGGGAACCACTACTCCCTTTGCACTAGTTAAAAATCTGATTAGAAACACACTCACAAACTGACTGATTTTTTTTTTTTCCTCTGTGGTGTTTCAAGCAGAGTGACAGATCGACGAGCGCGTAAGCTCTCGCACGGCTCAGCCTGCCAACATCATCAGCATTAGACAATTAAGCCCCGCTAGCTGGGAGAGAGAAAAAATATATATATATCTCCTCAGTAAATATTTACTGCACAAATCTTTTCCATTCATTCACCAGGCACTAACAAAACCTTACTGTACTCCCTCTCCCTCTCTTTCTGAGTCCCCACCACCACCACCACCTCCCCACCCCTACATCTGCGATTCATTGACTTTACAATTTACCACATGTCGAGATGGGAGAGGTCGAGCCTCCATCTGAATCACGGCACAAATATGCAAGTGATTTATTGTTTTAAAAACCCTGGGCCGATTTAGTGCAACTCCACTTTTCCTGAGCATTACTCCTATTGGCAGACCATGAACAATTACAGTTCGGACTAATTAAGCTCCGAGAATGTGCTGTGCACCGCTAATGTCTAGCAGGCCCCAATTTTAATTTAATGGTGCCAAACTTTGCTTCCCAGCCCCCCCCCTCCAAACCCCTCCNACTCCTCAAATCCAAAGCAGATTGTGCTTTTTATGACTGTTTATTGAGTCGGAGAAAAATAAGGACCTTTTCTTTCCCCTCTCCTCGCATAGGATGAGAGAAACAGCACCGAGAGGGAGAGAGACAGAGAGAGGAAGAGATGGAGCACAAAAAGGAGTAGTGGGAGGGAGAGAGAGAGAGAGAGAGCGGGAGCCGCTTCCGCCATACTTTGTAAACAAAAGTGATTTGCAAGACAAAAGGAGCGCAACCTTCCAACTAAATTCAGAGTGCATTTTGCGGCTGGAGGCACAAAATGCGGCCACGTCGAGCCACGAAACCCCCCGCGGACACCAATTAGGCCCTATTAACATGTAAAGCCAATTTGATAAGGTGTGGGCCCTGTCCCTTAAATCCACATTAAACTATCTTTCCTCTTGTCACAGCCAAAAATCCATTTACAGCAGCCGAACACACATAATCCATATGATATACCATTGTTATGCTTATGCTGCTGCCACATTCAGGAAAGATACTGTCTGTCTGTGTCAATTAGAACAGATAAGGCCACAGCAATGTGTGCATGTGAGCACAAAGGAGGTGGCGTTGCATTCACTTGTGCATGTTCATTACAATAATCTGACCAGAAAATCCTCCATTATGTCTTCCTCAAAATAAAAAAAACGATAAAGGAAGAAGTCAGACTGTATGAAAGTGGATTTATTTTCCGAGAAGGTGAATCTGCGGCAGCATCCTGGCACGACAACACAACTGAAACAAAGAGGGAAAAGGGGAGAAAAGCTATTGTTTCAAGCACACAAAGCCTTTCCACCGTCTTGTAGTAGAATCGCCACGGGTTCTGGGAGCGTCTTTTTTCACTCCAAACACAGCAGTGGATGCTGGTGTTGCGTTTTCATCCCCCCCTCTCTCTCTCTCTCTCTCCCCCCCCCCCCCCCCTTCACTTTTTTGTTCTTTTTTAAACTACTCGTAATTATACGTCGAAACTCAAAACCTCCGCCAAAAGTCTCCAGGCTTGGAGAATTATGGGGCCAGGGGTGGCGTCAAATATCTTAACATTCATAAGTCCGAGAGGCAGTAAATAAAGCCAGTGGATTTACGGCCCTGCAGCCCCGATGCAGGAGAGCTGGCCGCCCAGATCCCGCTCTCCCTCCCTGAGCCTCTGCGTCTCCAGACCTGTTGAGGTGTGATGTTAGCCCACAGCACCGCACTTAACCCGCCGCCTTTTTTCCACAAGCCCTGTGTTAGCATCGGCAGGAAACAAAAGGTAGACAGGGAGAGGAAGGGAGATAGAGAGAGCAAAGGGAATAGGGGGAAAGTGAAAGGAGACAGAAAAACCAGGGTGAACTGGGCAGGCCACTTCTCCAATTCAACCTGCACCCAGTGATCCAGCAGGCCTTTGTGTGAGGTTTTGGGAGGAGGGAGACGGCAGGGAGAGAAGAGGAGGAGACGAGGACAGGAAGGCTTTTAAAGCCGGGGCACAACGTCATGTCAAATTGCTAAATGATACTAAATTGTGAGCCTCCTTGGACTTAGGTGGTAGGAAAAACAAATTCCCACTGATTATGGCTCCCAGAGGTCAGACAAATTATGGTAACCGCCACATGCAGGAATTTTTTTTTCTCCTACTCAAGTCATGCAAAACAAAACAAAAAAAACAGAAGCAAGGTAAAATGTCCAGACAGATGAGGATCAGTGCCAGCTGATATTAAAAATAATCTCAATTTTGCTCTGGGAAATACCTGAAAATTTTCCCCATACAGAAATCCCAATTTAAATCATTTATATTAAATACAAAACGCAGGCCTCGATGCTGAAATCCCCATTTTAAAAATAATATCACAGCAAACCAAAAGGAGCAGAAGAAGAAAAAATGAAGGGAAAAGCAGCGAGAATCAAAGCCTTTCATGACAAGACAGAGAAAAGTCTCATTCCAATAATCCTTGCAGTCATATTCAGTGCCTCACATGACATGTTAGGGAGCAAGACAGCTAATCAATGTCCAGGTGAATTATTTATGCCAGCTTTAAGTCTAATACATTTATATTACAGCGGCCGCTGACTTCAAAGCTCTAATGGCTGGACACACAGGGCGCTGCAGACAGTGGGGGCCGAGGCTGTACAGTAGGAAGATCACCGCGAGCCGAAAACCATCCTCAGTCACAGCTCAGGTACATGTGTAAGTGTCGTCTCCTAATATGTGAATAAAGCATCTCAATAATCAGCTATGGCTTTTTAGATTTTGGAACAAGTGGCGCAGAGAGGAAACCAAACAACAGGTAACAAATCAGGTGGCACATATCTAAATAATAAAAGACCTCTTTTTCTGGAAACAGTATTTCAGGGGTGGAATCAAGAGAGCAAAGGTCAACACCGTCTCGCCGCAGCATCCTCGAGCCACCCTACAACAATTTACTGCTTTCCTAACTGCTGCATGAGCACAATGAAACGAAGCGCTCCACGGACCGGGCACAGCGCTGTGATAGGCACAAAGAAAACTACAAACCACTGAAACAAGGAAGTGCCTCAGTTCAAATCATGTGTGTGTTGTTGTGAATGTGTGTTTGTGTCAGTGCTGATGAGAATAATGAGTGACTAATTCCACATTCCAGCCGGTAGCGTTAACAAGGCTGGCTGACTAAGGGGGAAAGAATGGCAAAATGTTCTCACATGTGCATATGCCGGGAATGATAAAATCCTTTAACTATAAAATACACACACACACACAAGTGTAGAGAAGAATTGTGTAAGCAGCAAAATTATTTCATGTGAAACCCCTGGACGAGCGAAAGCAGAAATTGTGTCACACACAAAAGAAGGCATTATGTGTCAGACGTTTATTTTCAAGGTGTGCACAAAAAAATTGAGGTGACAAATATCAGTTTCGTTAGCCAAAGCTGAGGTGGTGGAGGTGGCGGTGGGGGTGGAGGGGTCATATTTCCTAATGCCTGGTCTTTGCCTTAACCTTGTAAAATGAGATGACAGGTCCTAAAGCGCAGACTTGTAATTGCAACCGTTTAAAATAGGGGGGCTAAAAAACACCCAGGGTTGAGAAAATTATGCCGCTTAAGGATTGCCATTGCCCAGTGGGACTGGCGAGGTGCTGAGCAAATGAGTAAGTGTGCATAATTATAGCAGGGCTGATTGTGTCTAAATAACATGAATTTATTTATAAATACGGGTTTACATAGCACGTGCTTTTTCTTTTTCTTTTTTTTTTAAAGGCTGTAAATTCCTCATTAGAAGCAAAGGTGGTGCACATGCACAGCAGTCATTTCCATCCAATAAATAACACTTTTTAAAAATATATATTAATCAATGAGAAATAATTATTATTTCAAAGAGGGGGGAAAAATCAAATTTTAATGCATGCACCTTCCACATAATGTCTTCATGGCTTTTGACACATGCAAATCACTTTGAAAAGCTCATTTGCATATTTTTTTTTTTTATTTGCGTGCTTTTTACATTGCGTTGCACTGCTTGTGTCAGGGAGCCAGTGTAAAGGTCTGAATGCTAGTGCAGCGTGTGGTAGAAAAAAGGGCATGTTTGATGAGGCTGTGCAAACACAAGCCAACTGCATTATTCAGGGGGTTAAAAACATGCACTTGTAGCCCAGATACAGGACACTGCACAATTATAATTATTATAATTATTATATTTTAATACAATTTTTCATGCATTTAATTTTAAAAGTTGCAAAACTAAAAATCCAGCTTGCACATTAGTACAAAACAAGTGCACATGAGCTGCCTTAAAATCAGAATGTCCATTTTCATTGCATTAGCGCTTAGCACAGTTAGCATGCTAGCTGCTGTGCATGACACACACACACACACAGGCTGCAGGCGGACATGCATGCCGTTGTACGGTACACTTCATGAGTTGCAAAAACTTGGCTCTACATTTTTATCGGGGGGCTACACTCTCTGGGTGACAACACGGCTGCCCCCGGTGTGTCTGCAAGGTGTGTGTGTGTGTGTGAGGAGGAGTGTGTGTGTGTGTGTGAGGAGTGTGTGTGTGTGTGTGTGTGTGTGTGCATACAGTTGTAAATAAATGAACTTACTGTGCGTGCTGTTGGAGAAAGTGATCCATTGGGAAGGTAGGGGCTTGTGAGATCGGGGATCATTATAAATGGATAGCCCGGGTACGGTGGGCTCTTGAACAGCCCTCCATCTTGCCTTTTCGCAGCTAACATGGCGGGGGGTGGGGAGGGAGGGGTGGGGGGAGAAGAAGAAAACTTTTTTTATAAAGTGGCCTTGTAAACTTTTTTTTTTAATTTCCCACAAATATGCATTTGAGGAATGAGGCGGAGGAGATGCCCTCCGCGCGGCACACACAATGTCACGGTGCAGACATGAGCATAAAGAGTGGAAGAATAAAGCAGAGACTCACCCTCCTCTAAACTTTCTCTTGTTTTGTCTCTGAAAGTTTCAGATCTAGGCGGAGGCCGTCTTTCCGCCTTGAAAAATGCAATGAAACACAGGGATTGCGTTAAAGTTAACACAGCGGGCGATGAGGGGTGAGAGTTAACTTTTCTTTTTGCAAGTGTGTAAGAAATGTAGGCCCCTGAACGCATCGGGGTTGCTCATAATGTGCAACTTACCTCTGAATCCGACGAGCTGTTTTGATTCGTTTCCGACTCGTTTACGAGAGAAGATTTGACATCGGCTAAATCCCTTTCTGCCGAGGAGTTCTCCGAAATTTTCTCTTCCTGCTCCCCTTCGTCTTTGAAGGAAATCATTTCATCGTTTGCACCCAGATCGTCCCCTCCACCGCCGTTGAGCTGCGGCATTTTTCCCCGTGCGAAAATTTTTCTTGTTGTTGCGTGTGTGAGGGGGGCAAAAAAAAACACGAAGTTTTTTCTTAAAACCCTTGATCTAAGAGAGTCCGAGTTTAAGTTTTGGGGGTCTTGTATTGGCGTTTTCCAAAGCTCTGGCTGGCTGGTAGAAAACTAAAAAAGAAGGGAATCTTGGCAGAAAAAGGAAGCCGGAGAAGGAGCCGAGCCGCTCGGATTGAGTGAGTTGAAGTTGGTCGGAGTGGTTTTCAGTTCAAAGGCGGCGCTGATTGACAGATAGAGAGGGATGGAAATAGAGAGAGTCTGGATTCAGGATTATTGACAGGGAGAAACACACAAGAAACTAATGAGATTCAAACAGGGAGGGACTTGAAGTGACGTTTTCATAAATAGGAGGAAGAAAAAAAAAAGGAAAGAGGAGGAGGGAGGGAGGGAGAGGAGAGAGAGAGAGAGAGAGAGGCTGGAGGAAGCCGGGCGGACGACTGCAGAGAAAAAGCATGTGAGGAGGAAAAAGGCAGTTTGGGGAGCAGGGACAGTGATGGTGGAATAGGAGGAAGATAGGAGTTGCTTGTAAATGTGGATTAAACGCACATATGGGCGGTCTCCTGGTGGAAGAGGCAAAAAAAGGGTGCTTCCTCCACCACACCAGTCTGTCACACTGGGGCCAAATAACTTTAAACTTTACATTTTATTTCTTTAAATTTCCCCCAACCTTTCACACTTCTATATTTTCATTCCTCCTCCTCCTCCTCACTTAAAACCAGAGGCCTATCAAAGCAGAATAAAAGCGATTACACTGAGCTTGTTTTACCATTTCATCTGCTTTGTCAGTGCCTCAGATCTATTTTTCATTATATTAGATAATGCTTCCTCAGATCTATTTTTTGGGATGGAGGGTGTTATTGCATCCTGCTTTCTTGACAGGTGTGATGTCCTCTGGGACTAACCTGAATTCCTCACTGGCAGCACAAGCACAGGCTGGGCTGTTTTATTTTTCCTCTTCTCCCTCAGCAGCCAGACTGGACACAAATAACTGATGCAGATTTTTGGATTGCTCCATTTTTGTGTCAGAAATACACCCTGAAAAGACAAATATGAGGTTAAAAAGGCAGCAGGTGATTGTTTTTAATTGTAAAATGTTAGGAAAACACAGCCTGACCGTGTAAAATTGTAAGATTTCATTTAAAGCACATGAACGCGAAACTGTATTTTGTTTTTCCTATTCTTAAAATTCCTGTTTTTAAAATTTAAAATACAAAAATGAAGCGATAAATTAAAAAATGTGGAATATTTAACAATTTCCTGTGTGTGAAAACAGGCTAAATGATACATAACAGACAAAAAACGCAGCCGTAGCCCACCTGAAATATATATAAAAGCAATAGGAGGGGTGATTGAACAAGGGGATTGTGCGTGTGTGTGTGTGTCCCTGTGTGTGTGTGTCGGTGATGAGCTCAGCTTCGGTGATTCACTAACCTTATCTCATCAGCTCAGGAAATGCAGTTTCAGTTATAGCCGATATTTGATGGAGCAATCCCCCCCCCCCAAATTCGACAATCAAATGTAACGGCGAGAAATGGAGCTGATGCATACATCCAGGTGACACTTACACTCTGTTGCAACATGGCTGGCAAAGAAAAATAAAATAAAAATCACTATAAGATCAAAACAAGACGTACAATTGCTGATTAAAAAAATATTGTTTCATGTCAGAGTGCTGTTGGATGCGTAGAAACAAATGTTGTGACAGTAATTCCTCTGCTCTCCGCAGCAGTGTTGTGAATTATGTGCACAGAGCAGCACTGAAGTGTTGTGAGTCTGCCTCTACCAACGCACCTCGACCAGGCAACACCATGAAAGCAGACTATTCCGCTCAATGATCACTGATGTGCTTTATCTGGATGAGGTGAAAGCGGTGTTTGTGTGAGCTGGCTGCAGCCCAGCCAGCAGTGTTAGGGAGCAGGGAGGGAAAAGGGAAAGGGATTGCCGTCTCTGGTTCTCATCCAGTGTGTGTCTGTGTTTAGGCAGCCGGTGGAAGAAGAGGCACCCCGCCGCTCGGGGCCCTCCAAACCTGAGCCCACACAGACCAGACCAAAGCGGAGGAGCTCCAAGCTGGCCTCTCCCTGGATTGCCGCAGCAGGTACCTGAGAGTTTACTGGGGGCTGGCAGCGTGTTATCATGCCTGCCGTGGGGACACCTGCCTCTGATGCCGCCCCGGTGATTCTAATCTACAGGACCCTTTAATAAGATGATGATAGGCTGTGTCGCCGCCACCACTGCTGCTGCTGCTGCTGCTCTGAATGATGGAGATGGAGCAGGAGCACCCACGGCTTTCTGTTGGTGTTATTTATTTTGTTGTGTTTTCTCTCACCTCTGCTCCATGAGCTGCTGTGGTTTGGTACGACCGGGGGATTGTCTCATCCGTGCACTCCTGTGTCTCAGAGTGTGGAGGAAGTCAGAGGCATCACCAGTGTTTGATCACGAGACATCAGCTCTCTGTTGTAGTCTTCACGAGCCCTGATGATGAATCCATACACTGATTCTGACCTCAGACAGTCAGATTTGATGTCAGCATTTATAAAAATGGGGCGGATTTAATTACAATTCAGTCTCTGGAGCCTATACAAATATAAGTGCTCTTAACAGTACATGATATTTTCATATTTACATCTCACTGACAGCTCTATTGGGATTCTTATGTGTGTTTCTGGGTGCTTTTGAAAATAAATTTAACATTTGGGGACACACATTTAAAACAGGGGGTTTGGGATTCTCCGCCAAAAAATTATCAGCATCAAACACTAAATTTCCTGCACTCTGGGGAATTTAAGCACCAATTTTTTGCCTTTTTTTGCACCAATTTATGGTGTAAATATCCTTAATTTTGCCAAAATAACAGCCCTCTGCTACTTTCATGTTTTTGGGGTGCAAAAATGCACATGCTCGAAATAATGAGGGGGGCGTGTCCCCTGCTGCCCCCCTGAAATCCACGCCTATGCACGCTTTCTGCCTCACCCTCCATGCTGCCCCTATAAAGGGCATGAATAAACACAAACAAACTCCCAAATACCTTGAAATATATATAACAATATATACAATACATATACAAGATGTGCCAATTAATTCAGCTTGTATAATTCGTGTTTTGTTTTTTTGTTGTTGTTTTTTTGTACATTTTCCAGGACTGCACTCGTATAGAGCAGGTAGACAGGAAGTGTTTTACATAATAGACGTTTTAGCTTTAATCATTTTTTGGTTTCAAAGGATTCCGGGGACATGATTTCTTTTAATGTTGAATAATTAAATAGTCGATCTAAAGTCAGTGAGCAGTGTTTGAATAAGCAGAGTGAACAGAAGAGGGGCTGACGGTTTAATACCGTGAATCTCTTAAATCCCCCTGAATCCCACTGCACATATGTTTATGTTTGTAGATGCTGTGGTTTAAAAGCTGTACAATCACATTAACATATATGGCGTCTGCGCTACAGCATTTATACACAGTCTACATGGGAGAGCGGATATAAGATATTTTACAGATCAGTGTTTTTATACTGTTATTTGTCCTAAAATTATGTTTTTAAGACGGTTTGGTGATGTGTTGTAATTTTGACTTAACAGCTTTTACTCTGCTAAATGAATGTCTGGGGAGAAAATAAAAGAAGAAGAAAGAAATGTCTGGTAAAATCAATTCTACATAAGCGCTCAATGAAACAGATTCGAAAAACCCTCGCACACAACACCAAACTACTTTGAGAAATCACCTACTTTTCTCTGTGAACACCCTCACTGTTTCATCTCGAGCAGTGGAAAGGTAGCAGCAGCGCACAGTGCAAATCCTCCTGTGTTTGCAAACAGTTAATTACCCATCATGCATCCATGTTGCCAACCACACCAGCTAAAAGGTCTCTCATCGCTGATTAACATATTACTGCTGGACATTTTCTCTTTTTCCCCCCCTGCGCGGAAATACACTTGTTTTATGGCAAGTGTGGTTTGATTTATTCCAGTAATGAAGTTTGTTCGCTTGATAATAAGCGAAAAACTTAACATTTAAATTTAGTTGCATTTAGTCGAGTGCAAATTCCCTCTATTGTTGGGAGAGGTGCTGTTAAGTATTTTGGCATTTATTTCCTGCACAGCTCATATAAATTCTATCACCAGGATAATACTGTGGTTAGCCATAATTACATGTGTACTAATGGTCCTCATCATTTCTTGGAATGGACAGGAAGCAGAAATACATGTCTGATTTACCTGATTACCAAAAAGACTGTTTCATACTGTATATTATTCATATATTATTATATTACTCATTAGAGTAAAAGCAAATCAGATGGCAAACATCTAGGTTGTGCTCGCATTTGCACGCAAATGGTTAATTGTGTTTTCTTGAATACTGTACTTATTACTGCGCTTGTTTAATTCAGCACGTCACGTCTGTGTCTCTATGCAGAAAATTTCTGTGTGTACTTATTTTAATTACTCTGAGAAATATTTGCTCAGTCTCTGCCGGCTTGGGATTTGTGCTCTATACATCAAAACGCAAATGATGATGAGGGAAGAAAATGATTGTATATA